TTCCACAATCAATCAAGCAACTCGAAGAACTGCTCAAAAACCTGTATAAATTTAATTATCAATAAAATGCTGATGCCACCTATGACCTACCAACTTCCGAAGAAAGAACAACAAAAGAATTTGAGAATGATAATTTAATTAAAGCATCTGAAAGAGGTTGAAGAATATAACCTGAAGAAGGTGATGGTTACGGCAAAAAGAAAGGACAGAATAAGCTGAGAAATGCAATACTCCTTCTGAAGGGCATGACCAGATACAAGCACAGATTGGAATCTGCAGGATTACAAGATTACATACATCATGCAACAGATTGGATAAACAAGGCTACTTGGATCAAACAATCAATCTCACAAGATAAGCCCTCATAAATAGCTCAGAATATCCATGTGACTTGATGAAATGCTCCAAGGTCTCACTTCGATCCATATCAGGATTGTTCTCGTGCTCCTCGAGGTACCTAGTACAACAAGAGTTTTGTATATCGATTTCTCAAATATATTCAAGAACATCTAACACGGAAACTTGAAAACATTAAAACCCTACGGTGAAGATATAACGATAAGCAATCATACATCTTAGATACTTTAGGGCTTAGCTTTATCATCCTTCACGCGGTTAAAGAAACACCAAATCCTCGTCTTCATAATATAAGGGAACCTATGTTGGTCTAGAAAAATTGAAGTACCCCAGAAAACCTTTCCCAGAACAGATAAGGGTTGAGCGAGTAAGACGTGCGAATTTTGATAGATTGCAGAGCATGTAAATGGGAACTAGAAAAAATCCGAACCGAAAAGAATTTGGGGATGTACCATGATCATCCTTCATGGGTTTGAAGGACCTCCCTCCATAAGAACCGTCCTTCCAACCGACACCGACGACGACGATGACGATGATCACGCGAAGGAAGGGGCACTAACGTCATCATCTTTCACCGATGATGATGACGATGACGGCGATGGTGCAACCTCGAATCGAATGCCCTTCTCTCACAGATCGGGGAACCCGTGCAACGACGATGCCGGATCCGTGAAGGGGAAAAGATGGCGATCGTTGTCGACGTCGAGACAGATGCAAGCAAATCTCGCGCGAGTAGGATATGAAATGGAGCCATCGGGCACAGCTCCCACCTCTACTAGTGTTTTTGGGTGCTGCATGCGTTAACAGACAAGTGACGGGCCGATCGTTCTCCAACCCAACATTTAACTCGGGCCGGAAGTTAGACCACGTCCTATGGTTAGATGGCGCTTCCACAGTGGACGCATTATTGCCATACGCGGCGGTCGTGAGATGACTAATTGGGCCACGGAACGATCCAGCGACTACTACTCTGTGAGTGAAACGGATGGAATGGGGCAGAGGCTGCAGTAAGTCAATCGGAAGTCGTGGTGCAACGTGGAACGCAGATTCATCCTCGATTTAGACGCACACGGCCAAGAAAGAATAAGGAACTGTGATGAGATGATGACTCACATGAGAACGTCGCCCTTAAACTTGACTATCTCACGAATCATTCGCCAGAAGGAAGGATTGAGCGCGTTGGTCTTCTGCGCAAACAAGCCGGAGAGACCATTGCGACTTCCCCATTCGCAGCCTTTGCCTTCGTCCAGGCTCACAGAGAACGACATGTCGGATAACTCCATGTCGACGCCCAGAGTCTCGAAGAACTCCACCATGTTCGGGTAAGTTACCTGCACGCATGGTTTCAAATCGACGATTACTCTTTTGTCGAGCAATGTAATCATACATGGTTGCATCATGGTAAATAACGTGTTTGGGAACAATTTGGCCATATTTGACGTCGATTATGATAGATGTGGTGCCACCATTAATTTATTTCTAACTGTGTGTGATAGATGAGTCGACACCACACAGACTTCCTGCCTTCAGTAGCAGTGGTGGCCGTGACTCGACGACACCTAATGTAGGGGGAAATCAAAGGGTAACTTTTTTATTGATTGGTAACTTTCTTCATCTTACCATGCTCTTACATGACCTAGGGAACATTTCTGATAGCAGAGGACGATTTCCGTGCATGCTCGTGTCCATTGGCTGCTAATCAAATGTATATTTATCATTTTAGTCACGATATGGTAGCGATCAGCTTATTATATTGGATAATTTTATTTAATTGAATAAAATATATTATATTTGTAATTAAATTCTGATTAATATTATCAATCAATAAAACAAAATTTTAATTATGAAAGAATCTTAATAGGACTCTCCTAATTACTTATTTTAAATTATTTACTCTTATTTATAAATAGATAGATAATCTTAGTGTCTATATATATAAATTATAAATCTATTCTCATATCCTTTTAGTTCCTATTTCATTATCCTCGGATCATTTTTTATATATTTACATATCAAAAATATTTTGAATGATATTAAGAGATATACAATTAAATTAAATTTATTATTATTTGATTTTAGATTTTAACATTAATTTTTTTTTCGTGAAGAGCTCACGCAACCCTGTGTCATTTATGACTCTCTAGAATATCTTTTGTTTTGACGGACGTAAACGTGGTTGTTTCCCTTGTTTTCATCAATATGTCTTTTAGTTCTAATTTTGACACCAAAAAAAAAAAAACCTCACAGAATCTCTGGAAACAAGTCCCAGATATTCATAAAGAATTACCCATTCAAATTCAAGATGAGGTGGAAAGGAGGATAATTCAAGCTAGATTTGAGGATGAGAGTTAGGATCATA